GATTTTTTGTAATTGTTTGATCTTTGTATTAATAATTACATAATATTGTTTCAAAATGTTGTATTATTCAATCAACTCACACGATAATGCTGAAAATTAATCAGTAAATCGTTTACCGATGTATTAATCAACGCTAGAGATATTAATGGCTAAAGTCAGTGATGGAGGGATGCTACGTTCCTTTTTAACAAATCTATAATTAATATGTAGCTCGTGTGGAGCCATTACGTTTGTGCCATAAATAATATTTATGGATTCTGCCCGAACAAACAAGTATTGCCGTTTCTTTCTAACTCCTGGTATCTCTGTCAATTTTCGACGAATCCAATGAATCGAATGGAGCCACAGGCAAAGCTAATATCAAATAACGTCACCAACTCTAAACACAAATCGAAGTAAATAGTCAGTGTGCCTCCTCATTCTACTTATTTCAACAACATTTCGGTACCTCAGGTACACATTGTGTAGATGTACCCAATATGTTCTCGTACTTAATTAGAATTTAGAGATATGACATAGTGGCACACCCTTACGTGACTTGAATCTTAACATTTCTCTTAGTATTCCGTCTTTGAAGCCTAATTAGACAAGTTGATATATTATATAAATCTCACGTCTGAAATAATTGGATACACAATCTTGGGGGTGTACAAATTAAGAGAATATTACTGGGCTTAGGTTAGGTTCTCAGGTTCCCTTTACGAGTTAAGAAGACGAATGATGTCAAATATCGTAGAGACGGGTGTATAAGTACCTGGTGATTAAAAGTGTTTTTGTTCCTAAACTACAAAGATACGTAATGTAATCAAACAGTACTAAATCATCTTCTGTAACTTACCTTAACAGTGAAGGAAAGCATTGTGAAACGATCTGAATGTCGGAGAATATACTCACTTTCTGATAAATTACCACTGGCGTCTATTAACAAAGGAGATTGAAGGAAAGTCCATTTATAGCGTATTGATTAAACATTACGTAGACAATAAAAGATAATACCCGACTTAATTAAGTACATCCAGCTAGGTTCCAATGGTCTCTGCCCACATCACTCATTTATGTTTGTGACTTTCTGACGTTCATAACCTATTATAAAAAAATGGCATAAAAATAGATCTAACCCAGAATGCTAATTGTTAGCCATTAAATAATATTAATAGTGGCTGTAGTGGTGTGCCACGCGGGCCCTATGCGGATTAGTAACTTTCCACGCATAATTTAACTGCTTAGTTTGTCATAAGTTTCTATGGGAAATGAAACTATTTTTCCGGATTTATGTTTCTATGTTAATGTTAAAAACTTACCTGGTGGAAAGTGTGGACCGCAGCCTATAGACAATTCCGTTACTAAAATTTTATACTTAATTATCGCATGTGTTGTCTCTGTAGGAGTTTGTTTTTGGTCTCAGTAGATAAACATCAACAGATTAAGTAAGTAAGATTAGAAAGATTGAGACATATCTTTACTACTATAGCGCTAGCGAGAAAATTGCTTCATCTCTTGTGAATTTTGTCTATTTGCGCTAATGCTGAGCCTCGTGAAGGAGTGGTCAAGTATCACAAAATAACGCATGAAACTAAAGTATCAAACCTACTTTCGATCAGCCAGTTTGGTCCATCTAGCGCCAGTAACGTTGACCCTCCGCATAAGCAGTGACATCTGTTCATTAGGCATTGAAACCGCAACGCTGTGTATAATGAACGGGTCTACAGGTGTCATGCCAAGGTAGCCAGAGTCCATGAGGTAGAAGAATGTCCTAAAACCTCTGCGGAGGCAGTCTATGTTATCCGCTCGGCATGGTGGAAACGGGAGGGGGGTTGTTGCTGAAATTGATAAGGAAATCTTTTATAAGTGGTAAATTTATATCATCTAGATCGGTGCTATAAGGATATTAAGGCGTATACACTTGTTTTTTCTCTGCTATAATGATGTACCATCATTTTACCCACACCAAACTATATATATTAGTAATTAGAGATGGGAAAAACTGCTTATTTTTATAAATGTTTAAACGTTGTAGCTTTTTAAAAAAAGTGTGCTTTTTAGATGCCTTTTAGTTTGAAACTTAAAAAATCGTTTAGAAAGACGTTTAAGCGCATAGACTTTTATGTTAAAAAAAGGCTTGTGACGTTGTGTTGATAACGAAAAGCAGGAGTAAAAAGTAAAAGTAACTGTAAAAAATGAAATTGTTGAGTATCGAATTTATTTTAAAAAGCAAACTTTTTATGTGCTTTTCGTTTAAACGCACACCACTATTTGCAACACTAATTACATTTTCATGCGTTAAATGAATTGTTTATTCTGTCCTTTCAAAAAATTATTAATAACAACATTTCCAACGTTTGTTGACAATAATATGACTATCATTAAAGTTTACGATGTATTATTACATAATGAAGTACAGTCTACAATACTTGGAAGAAAAAATGTTTTCAGCTAATACGTCAGAGCAATTCTCTGTACTATTAGGCCTCTTGAAAAATATGTCAAAGCGATTGAATCGGTCAGGGAGCCTAAATCAAATGACGAAATCCAATGTTTTCTGGGAATTGTAAATTACATGGGAAAATGGACCCCGAACTTGGCGACCATGATATCAATCATTTTCCAATTCGTGAATTTCTAAGATTTAAGCTTCCCAAACATGCCGACAGTGTTCAATATTAGAAAGATTAACAAGCAGCCGCGTGCAGAGTTAAAACAGAGCTTAAGTAACCTTCGCACATTAGATTTCTAAGGGTCGTAGTCCAGAACTCTACTCAATGCTCAAGTCAGGACTTGAGTATGATTTCAAGCACTGGAAATACGACCCTAATAGGAGCAAGGATTTGATTATGATTTCTAGTGCTTTGAATTAGACTCAAATCCTGACTTGAGCATTGAGTAGAGTTCTAGAATAGGACCCTCAGAGTCGTATTCCAGAACTCCACTCAGCAATTTCTAAATTAAAATGTATTCATCTATAGCCAGGGCTGGTAGCTGCAAAGGTATCTAACAGGGTGACGAAATACTTAAGATCTCTTATAGACGGCGCTACGGCGAAAAAGTCGTTGAAAAAACTTAATTCAAAGACACGACAACAAACACACAGAAAAACTCGTGAGGTCCCCTGGTTCGTTCCGTGGTTTAGTTGGTATAGCGTCTGGCACGGTATTGCGTCGGCGTCGGTTCGAATCCGGCCGGATCGAGGGAATTTTTTCTGAGTGTTCGATCTTTGTATTAATAATTATAACTAGTGGCGTAATTTCACATAAAAATAATTGAATATTAATTCAATAAAAATTTAAATGTACTCGCGCAAGTTTTCGCTCCTTTTCCTATTATTGTCACTATTGTTACTGTTTTGATTGATAGTGGTGCGTTGTTTTGTAATAAACTGTAAGCAAATTAACTTTGGTCTTACTTACACTTTGATAGCACCCACCTGAACTCCATTGGTACAGTCCGCTACACCTTCAGATACTATTCCAAGCCATAACCAAAACCATGCACGAACGAACGTTGGGTATTATACGATGGCAGGCATATAACTAATGGTTCATCACCCTGGTAGAAATAATATAGCCGATTCGCTGCTTACGCAAAATACGAAATTCCATCCATATGAGGACGAATACTATATTAATAAATAAGATTGTAGAAAATACTAGACCGTGGCCATGTCCATGGAGGATTACTAAATTTGAAAATGATGACGATATTCAATTAGTGAAGATGGGTCTTTTCCGAATTAATCGGACCCCCAAAATAAATAACTATAAACTTTATGAACATGCGCTCTGGGTGCATGACCAGCAGGTCGATTCAGAACCTTACGATGACTCTTTTGTCGACCGATTCGATTAGAAATCGTACGATTTCTTTTCATTTTTATTCACAATAACCGAATCGAACGTCAAACTGCAAACTGTCGTATTCGAAACCGAACCAAAATGACAGTGCACTCGTACGATTACTCGTACTTCCCGACCGGCAATGGATAACGTTTGTATCCTTATTAACTTACTCAGAACACAGTTATCGAATGAAAGTTACCGAACGTATTATTGTTTACAAAGCAAAAATGTAATATGGATTTTTATTGTTATTTTAAATAAAAACTGGATTTTGTTCAATTTTATTAATTTATTTTAATGCGAGACTAATGCGTTCCTATATTTTAAGCCTTTAAAGGCTTAAAAATGTATATAAAATGATTTCATTTTTCTTATAATCTATATTTGCCGACTAACTCCGTAAACGTTGTTGGATAATGATATCGTATTCGAATCCGAATTGAACGTTTTAACTCGGAATGTTCTGAATAGCTCGGAAAGCGTCTTTCGATTCAAGAACGATATCCAATCGAACGATTCGGTTAAGATATCGAAGAGTTCTGAATCGGGGTCCTGATCCCGCTACGGAGTAACAAAATAGTTATTTCTATCGAGTTGCTCCAACAAGTGCTCGCTTTGGCACATGAGGGCCATCTTTGGCATCGTTGCTATGAAGGGTAGACTGTATCAAAGTATGTATAATATGCGCGATTTAAATCCGGAACAAAATATTTTAGTTTGTGTTTATTAGACTATGATAATTAAAATATAATAATTATAAAAGTTAAGTAAAACATACATATTAAAATTTATTGCGAGAAAAAACTGTGGTGTACGTAGAGAAGAAAGGCGCTCTGCAGCCAGCCCGCTCTCGCCATAGATATCGGGGTGAATGGACGTATCATATGCGCACGTTAACACCAAACTCAGGTACCTATGTTGTTTTATTGAGTCATCCTTGTACAAAGTGGTGTAAACGTTAATTTCGACTCGTCCGTAGAACAAAGATATATTACTATTTGCAAAACTACTAGTTCTCAGGACATTAGTACATATTCGTTCGTTCTTCTTCGTCGTGGATGTCAGATCGACTGTTGTTTGATTTTATGTTTCCGAAACGAAATAGATACCTATCTATCTTTTCGCTATGTAATCACAACGGACTCTGTTCTTCGGATGAGTCGATATGTTTTGGGAATTTTAGTTGTTTACTATGATTAGTACGTGATTAGTAATGTACATTTTATATTTTACGTAGCACCTGAATGCCACTGACTTTTTTTTATGATATCAACCGACGACAACGGGATGAACAAGTCGTGCGACTGGCAGTATAGTGCCACTCAGAGCTTTAAACCACAAAGATTTGAAGAGCACTGTCACTGCGCTCGTCACCCTGCGACATAAAGTTAACTAGTTTCATGTGCCAGTAATTTCACCAGTACCCTTACAGTTCCAAACGGAAACGCAGTAACGCTTACATTACTGCTTGGAGGCATAAATAGGTAAGTTTAATTCTTTTACAAAAAGTTCTACTGTTACTACAGCACAAAATAACATACAAAATACATCAAGACAAAGGGATAAAACACAAAATAATTGTAACTTTTTTATAAAAAAACGGACCTCAAAAGTTTGTGGGATTACATGTATGTGCCAAGTTGTATTGAATACGGGAAAGTGCGCGAAACCGGCCACCCTTAGAGATGGGATATTTTCTTCAAATTTAAATGGGATTAATACTGCGGTACCATCTTTCCAACAAAAAAGGATCATCGAAATCGGTTCACAAAGTAATTGCGTAACATACCTACAAACAAACAAAATAACAGTCGAATGGAGAACCTCCTCCTTTTTTTGAAGCCGATTGTTTTATTATGTATTAGCAAATAACAACACTCCGTTTTAAAAAGCAGATTTACCTCTACAGAATTTGTTATAATAGGTACATCTCATTACTTATGCTGTGAAACGTGGTTGTCCTTTACGTATCGTTTGTTTTACATGCAACAATTGTTATACTGTTTTTTGGCTGCAATTTGCGCATTTCATTCAATATTAGCGCCAAAGTTAAGGGTTGATTATATTGACTCTATTTAGCAGAAAATAGACAGGCCTGCGTTTTAGTGGCATTGAAATTGGCCAGATTGTCATCTCCCCACGGAGAGACGAGACTTAAGGTCAAGTTCGTCCGCTCCAGCATGGCCTCTCTCAACGAACGGATAACTACTCTGCTGTCTTTGGCGCTGGACAGATATCTCTCCGTAACAGTGCTCTCATTTGCATATCCAACAATACCTGGGACTAGCAGGTCATTGATTTATAGCAGGAAAAGATTCGTAGAGAGGAACTCCGGCATCGATAGCCATCAAGTCAAATGAGCAGCCAGCAATGACAATAAATAAAAGGTACGTATTTGTGGCATACATTTACATTACAAAACTTGGTAAAGTTTTTTCTATTTTAATTTCGATACAGCATAATTATAACTTACATAATAATTAATAAAGGTACCTTAAAGTTCAATTATCGTGAAGCTATTTGGAGCTAAGGCTACATAAAAAATAGAATGAAAGTAACTTAATGAAAAAAATATACCTAGATAAGAAATATGTAAATTTATACATTATTATTATGGTTGAGTAGAAAAATGCTTTGACATTTCGAAAATTAAAGTTTCAGAGAAAATTATTTTGTTCGTGACATCTTAGGAAATTGATGGAATAAACTTGTTTGCCTCCTTTGTTTAAATACCAATTTCTTGCAGTACTTGCAAGAAATTTGTAAGTTTGTAAATTTGTAAGAAATGTATAATAATATAAATAAAATAATAAATGTATATATAATAAGTATAGTATAGTATTAGTAAGTATACTATACTTACTATTTTGGGGGTTGACGTTGCTCGCTTCCGTAGGTTTACCCTCGAGACCCCCGTGACCCCTGGGTGGTGCTAAAGAGCAACAACTACTGGTGGTAGGCTCCGGCCGTGGCTAGTTACCACCCTCCCGACGCAGTCGAGTCGCCAAATGGTTCTAACCGTGTTCCCACTCGTGTTCGGGAGTTGCCATTAGGAGGTCGGGTCTGAACAGTTGCCTTGCGTCTGACGACGAGTTGTAGCTGCTTATACTGCCACACTGAGCACTCGGTTCTGGAGGCTAGCGGGATTCGAAGCACGGTGCAGCGCTGGCCGACCGTGGGAAGTTGGGGGCCCAAGTTGGCCACCCGTGAAGGGGTGCCCCGCCACCCAACGAAAAATCCTGGAATGCTCCACTTTGACAGTTGGCGACCGGAAGGGAGGACCAGGTGGCTATCTCCTCGGGGGGGTTCGGGCGTCCCCGCGGTCTCCAAGCCGATTGTACCCTCGTGTGGCAGTGTGAGCATGCTGCTTGGTTGAACACGACGCAGTGCCTCGTTCAACTGCCTTCCTCCTGCCTATTCTTTTTTTTTAATAATAATAATTCATTTATTCGCTTCAAATAGGGTAGGGTACATTACACATGTTGATGGTGAAAATTAAATCAGAACTTAAACCTTTTCGGCCTTCTAAAATAAAAGCATGCAAATACAAAAATAATACATTGGTGGATTGAGATTCGATTTTAAGACAATAATTAGGCAACAAATTGATAAATTTAAGATAATTGATTTATTTGATATGTCAGAATCGTGTTTGTCATAATAATAATAATAATAATAATAATATTTTTTTTTAATGATGGGAAAAATGTATGCATCAATTAATTATTCTTTATGATTCATGAATTCGTCAATAGAGTAAAACAAATGATCAAAGAGCTACATGCGCAATTTCTTTTTAAAATTAGTTAATGGTAGAGGCTTAATGCGATCTGGTATACGATTAAAAATTTTTCCACACATTACATACGAGTTATTTAGAAAACGTTTCATTTTGGGTATTGCATTTAGTACGACTTTATTGGGCTTCCTTAGGCTTCTGAATGTTACGTCCTTCGCTATTAAGAATTTCGATAGATTTCGTTTCACGAATATACCAACTTCGAAAATGTACAGGCATGGGAGGGGCAATACTCTTAGTGTTTTAAAGTGAGGACGACATGAGACATACGGTGCTACATTGCTTATGGCACGTATACATCGCTTTTGAGCAATAAAAACCTTCGCAAAATCTGTTCCGTTGCCCCAAATTACGATACCGTATCTGAGTACAGACTCAACATACGCAAAATAGGCAGTCATGGCTGTGCATTTATTCGTTACTTTTGACAATTCGTAAAGAGCAAACGCAAACCTATTTATTTTAGCACATACTTTGTCCGCTTGATCCCTCCAATTCATATTTTTGTCTATAATTAATCCTAGCAATGTCACATTGGTTTCGTTTCGCAAGATTTGTCCTTTATAATCCATGTCAATTGTCTGTGTTCGTAAGTTATTAAAATTCATTATATTAGTTTTAGTTAAATTAATTTGAAGATTATGTTTTTGTAGGTAGTCAATTAGTGATGTCATTGTTTTTTTCAATTCGTTTTTATGATATTTTTTTTAATTATATGATATTCGTTTTTATGATTTATTCACTTCTCAAAACAACATGACAAGTCATAAGAAAGGAAAAAACTTTACACAACGGTTGCA